TCCGCATGCGGAACCTTGCCTTAAAGTGATCGAAATGGCATAAATGGCACATTTTTGAAAAGGGGAAGGTGCCAGGATCATAATTATGCAGTTATATTTTTATTTCGAGGCTTCATTCGTGATTGAAGGAGATATTTCTGATTGCTTCATGACGACGTGGAGGGGGATGGGCGCAGTGCAAACAGTGTGCGTTCTGCGAATAAGAATACACGATCGGCGTTTATTATTTGGCGGTGGTCGTTTGACGACGACTCCTCGTCTCATTGATCATCATGGACGGTATGCCGGAGCGAATCCAACATCTTATTCTTGAAATATTTCATACCTTTGAACTTGAAAACCTTTATTTGGAAGAACTTTTGTTTGGTATGTATTTTGTAAACTTTGGTTATGTTGTGTGTTGTTTACCACTTACAATTATAAATGTTTCCTTTTGCTTGCTTTTAAGATGATGAAGATGAAGCCAATTTTTATGCTCAAATTGATCATCGTTTTGAAGATCTAGAAGCAATCCTTCCACCTCTCATGGGTCAGCTGTTGAGGGATGAAGTTATGCAAATAGAAATCATTGAAAATGATATGTTATTGGACTTGATATGTAAGTGTGTTCATTCTTCGTCATCCCAATTTGTATTCCTTACCCTCTCTGTTAATGGTTCTTTTCTCATTAGATGGAAGAAATGACAGGGTGATTGACTGGAGGCGTGATTTACCAAGAATGCAATATTTACGATCCCTTGAGGATCCCACGTTCCGAAAGCATTTTCGCATGGATCGGGCAGTCTTTGAGGTATTTTATTCTGTGTTTGGTTGTTGCAGAACAATTTTCTGTGTTAGTGAAAGCCATGTTGTTGTTTTTTTGGACAGGCCCTCATTGTTGTCATGGGAAACCATTTAGTACAGCAAGACAGATTGATACGTTTGCGCACTGAAGTGGATAAAGTTCTTCTGATGGCTCTCTGGATCTTATTCAATTTAGACACGTTTAGAGCAACTGGTGTCACATTTGGAGTGTCGAGAGGGGTTGTGCATTTCCATTATCTTATTGTCATCGAGGCTTTGAGGGAGCTTGCTCCCAGGTTCATTAAGTGGCCCTCTACTTTTGAACGGGATGGTATTAAGCAGCACTTTGAACGAAGATCTGATTACCCAGGAGTTGTAGCAGTTCTGGATGGCATTTTGATTAGGTGCTATGCGCCTGCTATTCAGAGAGAAAGATATTATGACAGGCATCACTCCTACTCCATAAATGTACAAGCTATGTGCGACCATAATCTATTGTACAGAGACCTTTACGTGGGCGAACCTGGAAGCGTTCATGACAATAGAGTCTTACAGAAAAGTCCGATTTATAACCTTCTACTGGAGAATGAGGACTTGGTTAGAAATGATGAGCACATTATAGCTGATGGAGGCTATGAAATGTTTGACAAGGTAATAAACAATGTAATAGATTTATTTTTACCCTAAATATTGCTAGAAATCAATTACTACTTTGCTGTTTTATTCCAGGTTCTTACACCATTTAGAAATCTTGGAAATTTGACTCATCGCCAAAGGCGTTTCAACTTTATCCATTCATCGAATCGAATGTGCATAGAGAGGTCCTTTGGTGAATTGAGGTCAAAAATGAGGAGGCTTTTGAAACTGTATGTGAAACGCTTTGAATATCTCATAGACCATATTGTCTCATCATTTGTGATACACAACTTCATCAAGCTTGGAGGAAACGATGCAGTACGTAATGTCTCGCACAGCATTTCCTCAGATGTGATTTGTCATATAGATGCAATTTATCCTTTGTTCACCATCTATTTTGTCTCACAGGTGGGCATCTGCATCATCCCACCCAATCAACCACTTGATCCGCATAATTTTGAAATTGATGATGAAGAGGAAAATGAAGATGCCCTTAGGGATGGAGGACAAGAAGATGGCCATGATATCTTGGATGAAGAAAATGGAAATGATGTGGCAGCTCGTAGAAATTTTGACCACCCATTGTTGCGAGAAGCCAAAGTAGCAGGGCACTTGAAAAGGAGCAGGATTGCCCGTCTGCTCGAAGAGTAGTCATTTCTTTGAGAAATGTATTACTTCTAAATGTTGCCTTCCATGGTGTGTGTGATTTTGTACAGCATTAGTTCTTATGTTACTGTAGTGTAAAGTACAGTAATGCACTGATACTTTGACAGAGTGACGAAAGTCCAAAATTTTGTTAAAATGAGATTTTTGGCTGCGTTCTAGAACTTTTGATTTTCTGTCGACTGGTGAAAAGCATATGTCGATATCTCTAATAGATTCAGCGTAGGAAAATACTTCAAAATGACGAAAGTCCAACTGTACTTTGACAAAATGACGAAAGTCCACCCGTACTTTGACAAAATGACGAAAGTCCAACTGTACTTTGACAAAATGACGAAAGTCCAGCCGTTCTTTGACAAAACGACGAAAGTCCAACCGTACTTTGACAATATGACGAAAGTCCCAACTGCAAAACCGGTCGTAGGTAACTATTGCTTTCCAATTTAGATAATTATTCATGAGTTCAGTGACGGCATGAACATAAAACATGCCAGAGTTGAAAAGTTTCGTTTAATTTGTGTTAGCAGTAAAGGTGGACTTTCGCCATATTGTCAAATTACGTATGGACTTTCGTCGTTTTATCAAAGTACGGTTGGACTTTCGTCGTTTTGTCAAAGTACGGTTGGACTTTCGTCGTTTTGACCTCATTTTCGTACGCTGAGAAATGGCGAATGTCCACTATCTCGGGAACTAAGCTGCCGATTGCAATGGCTCTTGAACCTAAAGAACACTCATGCCTTCAGGATTCTATGGTGTTAAACTCAACCATCAAATCCCAAAACTCTATTTTGCAGCTCAAATTTTAGACTTGTTTTGACTCTCCTGAAAAATAAGAGATTGTGGACTTTCGTCACTTTGTCAAAGTACCAGTGAATGGTAACTTGCTACAAGGTAGGTTTACGCCAGACCGCGTCTTGTCGTAACAGGCTTCGCGATGTCTCGCTGCCCGTTCCTCCAATCCGCGCCTGGCGTACCTACCTTGGCCTGCGGCGCTAGCCTGCCTTCGGCAGGCAATGGCTTGTCCATCGTCGGTTACTTCTAACTTGGTGCATACTGGAGCCCCCCAGACCCCCCTTCATTCTAGATCCCTTGTAACTTTTCAACTTGTCGGGGCTGGGGGGCTCCGCCCCCCCAGACCCCCCTTCTTCAAGACAGAAGTGATCTGCCTGCGGAAAACTCGATTTCTCGCCGTTTTTTAGGTGTTTTTCGGCTATAAAAACTGAACCAGTTGAGCTAGGATAGTGAAATTTCGCGTGTGCCGAGCCAAGGACATGCCCAAAAAGTGTGCAAAATCTCACCGAGATCGGCCGTGCCGTTAAGGAGGAGTAGTGCGGACAGACACACAGACAGACAGGAAAAACTTTTCAACCCCAATGGAGTAACAGGCTTCGCTATCGCTCAGCCAATGAATTAATATAATAAAAAATGCCTATGTCATTATTCTCCATTTATTTAACACTTAAAAGAATGTAAGTGACTTACATGCAAATTTGTAACAGGAGATTCAACAATTAAAAAAAAAAAAAAAAACTTATAATTGTCTCATTTACTGTGCTGCTGCACATTCAAAACAAGAAAAAGAGAGATCTCGTATGAACACAAACAAAAACTGGAGACACTCCTAGGCACTGACAAGACTGCGCAGGTACACATTAATACTAGGAACATATGTAATCACAAAATAGAATAGAATGTCGACAATGAAAAAACTGCAGTAACACATTAGGAAATCTTAGAGGTAAATATCAAAGTAAGAATTACAGTCACAACACATTGGTTCAACTAAGCATGTTCAAACTTCAATTGTCTCATTTACTGTGCTGCTGCACTTTTAAAAGAAGAAAAAGAGAGATCTTGTATGAACACAAACAAAAAATGAAGACACTCCAAGGCACTGACAAGACTGTACAAGTACTCATAAATACTAGGAACATAATCACAAAATAAAATAGAATGTTGACAATTCAAATAATGTACAGTAACACATTAACATACCTTTCAGGTAATTATCAAAGTAAGCGTTAGTCACAACTCATTGTTTCAACTGAGCATGTTCAAACTTTACATAGACTCATTTCATGTGCTGGTGCACAACCGAAACAAGAAGAAGGGATAACAATTATAAAATCAAACAGAAAACTGAAAACACTCCTAGGCACTGACAAGTACACATTAATACTAGGTACATTATCACAAAATAGAAAAGAATGTTGGCAATTCAAAAAAATGTGCAGTAACACATTAGGAAATCTTAGAGGTAAATACTGAAGTAAGCATCACAGTCACAACTCATTGGTTCAACTGAGCATGTTCAAACTTAAATTGTCTCATTATTACCTGTGCTGCTGCACTTTCAAAACAAGAAAAAGAGAGATCGCGTATGAACACAAACAAAAACAGAAAACACTCATAGGCACTGACAAGACTGCACAGGTACTCATTTATACTGGGAACATACAGTAATCACAAAAAAAATAAAATGTTTACTATTCCAAAAATGTGCACTAACACATTAAGAAATCTTAGAGGTGAAAATCAAAGTAAGCATTAGTCACAACTTATTAGTTCAACTGAGCATGTACAGAGCAAGACTTCTGCACATCTACCAGCTAGCTGCAGTCATGAAATCACTAAAAACATTCATATCCTTAATCTTTTTTAGTCCATTGTGAGTTTAACTGCTTCAACTCATCCACCAGCTGCTTCCGGCTCTCCAACACCATTTCGAACAGCTGCCTCTTTTCAGTGGTGGCTTGTGTTGGCTGCCGAGGCCGCTCTCTGCCATAACGAGCATTGACGTTCTGCTGTGGAGGTGCAACAAGAGCATTTCTGGTTTCCTTGCAGGCTGACCCAACGGCATAGGTTTGTTGAGCTGTCACAGAGACCATATCCCTCAATATGGGTTCTAAGGGTGCATACTAGGGCCATGGTTCTCGTGCTCCATCTCCTGACTTCGTTTTTATGTACAATGTGAACTCTTGTCTGAGAGTGTCCATTTTATTCTTGCATTGCTCCGGGTTGAAAGTGTGCCCACGTAGAATCAACTGGGAGGCGATCTTCCTGTAGAACGGCGCATCCCTGTGTGCTCTCCTGTACTCCTCTTTGTTTTCTCTCCAAACATCAATAAGTGCCAACTCAGCAGTGAAGGACATAACTGCACCTAAAAAATAAAAGAGCTTCAGTATTGTTCAGTTAAATTTTGATAACTTATACACTTTAAATAATTTGATATGTAACCTTTGGTAAACTTGGCACATGCCAACACATCATCCACTAACGAAGGGTTCTTATGAGGGATGTCAAAAAGTTCTGGACAATCAGTACTTTCGTTTCTCAGGAAGGACATGTACGGTCCCCAGGTATCGTGAGGTCCTCTCCTATGCTGCTCATCAAGACTTTTTCTTTCTTTTCTTGCAATCGGTTGTGTCCACCTGGATGTTGTACTTCTCTTTCATGGTTTCTACAATACTGGCAACACTGAAAACGTAATGGTCGGACACATAGCCAAGTTATGGCGTGACAAAAAGTCACGCCCGAAATTGGCGTGACACGAAATTCACGCCGATGAACGGCGTGACATGTGAGTCACGCCGTCATTTGGCGTGAATGACAACGCGTTTTCTGAGACAAGTCACGCCAAAAAGCGGCATGACAAGAAATTCACACCAAACATTGGCGTGAATATTTGAGTCACGCCGATTTTTGGCGTGACTTTTGTGTCATGCCGTTTATTGGCGTGACACTTAATTCACGCCCCTGCAGCGGCACGAAGTCACGCCGATAGATTTTCAGTGAAAGGCAGTAGAGGTACCCAAAAATTTGCCTCGGGACTTATCATTCATTTTGTAATGACAGCACTCCTGAAGGAAGCACTGAGTGGCCCAATCCCCATCCAGGCTCGTACTTGGTCTGGTGGAAATAGAGCTGTCCTGCATGCACTCAACCTGCAGAAGTTGATTCTCTCATAAAAGTAAGCAACTTAACATTATCAATGAAAATACAGATTTATACATACAGTGCCATGAACACCAAAGCTGGCATCAAGTTGAGATTCGTCTTGCTTAAGTTCCACCACATCTGCTAGATAATTAACTGTTCGTACTGTATTGCACAAGAATGAAGAAAAATATTCATTTGCCACCTACAAAAGAGTGAATTTCATTAGTGATCAGTATTATTATTCAGTTCTCATCATTATTGATTTGAAGTAAACCTCAAGTTTTATTGATGAGCCCACTTTGGGGTGAATCTTTTTGATTATTTCCTCATTTGGCTTTCTAACTATGCCATGCTTTGTTGCGTATGCATCAATAATCATCTTGAAGAGCCCCTGTACATGAAAAGTACACAAATTAGTCACATGAAAGAACACAAGATATGAAATTGACAGAACAACTCAAATACCTCATCCATGGTAGTGACATTAAATGCAAACACCTCATGGGCTCTGGGAGGTTCATCCAGCTTCAATGAAATCTCATCTGCCATGAAAAAGAAAGATTTCAGATGACTGGCAGCTTTGGCAACCTGATCATCTAAGAACTGTAAATAAGAATCAGAAATCCATGAGATTACTTTGGGTAGATCACATTTAGTGGCCAGTTCTGACAGCAAAAGAACAAACCTCAATAATGAGAGATGTTTTATCATCACCATAATGAACCATTTTTTATGATTTCATCACCTTCATTAATAGTGCTATTTTTAATTAGATGTGCCTTTAGTGTTCTGTCAAGCATCATCTGTCAACAGACAAGAATTGTTACACCTAATTAGTCAGAAAGTGACAAGATATTATTGAATGATGAATATTCAACAAAAGTTACTTGACTGTTACCTCCATACTGGTATCTGTGCTAGTAAAGCCAGATGCAATTACTTTCACTATTTTTTTCTGGAGTGGTTCAGCTGCCTTTAATTCTACTTCATTCGCCAGAAAATGTATCTTCTTCAACTCACAGGCTGCCTTGGCTATTGCTTCATTGACAAACTAAAGTGAAATGAACTGATTAGATTTTGTACACACAAATTATGAATTGCAGTGAAAACATTGACACGCACCTGAATTACTACAGGGTTTGATTTGATAACTTTGCTAAAATTTTACCCTTCTCTTTTATGGACCATTTTTTACCAGGTAATTGCAGAACCTTTCTAAGGCGTCCTGAAAGAGAGGCAACATTTGCATCAAAACAATCAATGTAACATTAAACAGAAAAAAAAAAATTAAAGCTTACTTCAACAAATGTTCAGGTAATCCCGTCACATTACCATGAGGGAATAATCGGTAAACTTTCATTCACAGTCGTCTCCTTAATTAGAAAAATAAAATTTAAAGAAAATTAATTTTTAACCAAAGCCTAAAATTTTGACAATGAAATATTTTACTTGCACTCATCTTACCACAACTTCATTGGTGTTCCCTGCACCTGCTTCATTTGTGGAAAAAGTAACAACTGCTCGTAGCGTGATCCTCTTGAAAAGATGCATCAGTGTCCTGCCCTGCACCTGCTTCATCTATGGAAGATTAAGCAACGCTCAGCAGCGTCATCCTCTTTAACAGGTGCATCGGGGCCTGCAAAAAGGATGAAATGGAGTATACACCACAGTCACAATGTCTTTTTAAAACGTAGCTACGATGTTTAGTTACCTTGTTGTTATTCGAGTCCTTCATTAGCGGTATGCGTCGCTTAGCATTAGAGACCATTCTCACTGAGAACAGAAGCAAGCATTAATTCATTATCCTTATATAAATTATACTGCACTGTTCAGTTGTTATTTTTCTCACCAGGAGTAGAGGCGATAATAGACTTGGCATTGGAATGACCCTGCTGCGCGCCGTGCAGCTCAGCCCAGGCACCGGCTGCGAAAAGGAGGCCGAGCTGGACCTCAAAATGAACACGTTCCTCTAACCTGAGCTCGAACCCGCGTCCAATCCCCAATGACACAGTGACCAATGACCGCGGTCCGTTCCGTTTGAGCGCGCTGTGCGAGAAAGGCGTGGTTGGCGCGGGTCAGGGAGCAACAGGTGGCCGTTCAATAATGGCACGGCGGGCACGGCCCATGTCCATGTCACCATGGTTGGAAAAGCGCTGAAGCGTATACTCCGGGCGCTCATGAAGAAAGTCAAGTCGGCGCCGTGCCTGCGGAGCGCGTCGCCGATCCGCTCCGCTCCAATGATGTCTTCAGGAGAGAAGCCCCTGAAGCCGCTGGCAGCAAGCCGGGCACAGACGCACCTGCCCCGTTCGACGGTGCCGGCAAACGCAAGTGTGTACATATCATACGCAACGTGGCACGTAAACGCCGAGTTTGTAGTTTGACCTTTCGTAGAGAAAAAGACTAACATCAACTGACAGGCCCATCCACGGTACGCCACGGCCGCCATCGGCGTGCCCACCACCGGCCAGCCCGCCAACACCACGCTTGTCGTCGGTGTGGCCGGCCCTGGCTTGGGCGCCGACGACCCCGCCAACGCCACCCCCGGGCCCTTCGACGGCGTGGCTGCCGGGCCCGCCCCTGGCCAGCCCGCCGACACCACGATTGTGGTCGTTGTGGACGCCCGAGGCTTGGCCGCCGACGACGCCAGCTCCGGGCCCATCACTGGCGTGCCCGGTGACGCCACGTCCGTCGACGCCAGCTCCGGGCCCATCACTGGCGTGCCCGGTGACGCCACGTCCGTCGACGCCAGCGGGCCCGCCTACGCCGTGCCCGGTAACAGCCCTGTGCCGGGAATGCCAGGCACGGGGGCGTGCTGCCACGCCGTGGTGGTGAGACGTAGTCGCGCTCCTACTCCGAACGCTCTACCTTCGCACAAGTTCTGGTGCCGAATAGTAATTGTACTTTTGTTTTGTTTCAGGCACTTCGGGTGCCGCCCGAGGACAAATGGCCAGCTGGCCCTTGAGCGCCTGGAGGAGTTACGGGATGAGCATAACAGGCGATTCGATGCGATTGAATCCCTTTTAATCGCCATCAGGAAGGGACAACAGGTGTGTAATATTGTTTACTACTTTATAAGTTGCAAAATGATCAGTGGGGAATTTTTTCTTATCTGACAATAAATTTTTGTGCTACCAGGTTTCTGGAGATTGAGCCACCATCCCACCCCCTTTGTTCAAGAAATTATTTTTATTTATTTTTAATTATTTTTATTTATTCAGAACAAATATTGCTCAGAGGCTTGGCGTCCCGCGCGAGGTAGGCCAGCCGGCCCGCCACGCGACGCACACCTGTGGAGACGGTGGCCTACCTTGCCTCTGTCGCGTGTTAATATAAGAGATTAGTCTTGTCGTTCGTCAGTCTTCTGAAGGAGTTATGCAAGTCCGTCTGTTTCTTGTTGAAGATTTTTGTCAATGCCGAGTCAATGCCATCCCTTATTTTGATTTTGCTAGTCCTTAGTCGTAAGTATTGGTAAGTCCTAGTCAGCAGTAGTAGTTGGATGCTGTTATTGGAAAATTGTCTTGTCAATTCTAGTCGCTGGTTGTAGTTGTCAGCACTCTTCCTCGCTGTCGCTTTCCGTGATGTTCCTACAAAAATGAAAAAAAAGAGACAAATATATTTTTCACATTCAATTTACAAAACCAGTTATTTTCTTATTCTGCTTCTTATCCTTGTAATTGGACACAACTGTGTATGTTAAATTTGAATGCATGGTGGTTTTAGAAAAGACGATTTAAAAAAAGTTCCGCCAAGGCAAGCTTAGCAAAGCGGTCTTGCCGTGGACCGGCAGGGGAGGCCGCGCAGAGAGGGGGCAAGGAGGGAGGGGGTAGCTGTGAGGAGTGGGGACTGGCGCGGCGTGGCAGCGCAGGACGACGACAGACGACGACCAACACGACCATGCAGTCCCCTCCGAGCGCGCTGAATGGATGGATGGGATGGGATGGGATGAGTGGGATCGGATGCAGAGCTAGAAGCGGTCGCAAGACCGCTTAAAAAAAGAAAAGAAGTCACTAAAACTGGCACTTTGTAACTAGACGGAGGCAAGACTGGCCAACTACGTAGCTGTTTTGCGGAAAGGCAAAGTGTTGACTTACAGTTTGGCCTGCACGAGCTGGAGAATCCTCTCTATATTGTCAAAGCGCAGGGTGGTCTGCTCTCTTTCATCTGACAACTCCTGGCGCAACAGCTTTATTTCCTCCAGGGCCAGACGACCCTCTGATGCTGCCTTCGGCTTGCACAGCATCTGCCTGCGGAGGAAGGAAATAAAGACATTGAATTGCGGTTTAGGAATATGACAAGGCTCTCCTTCCAATTTAGAATTCATCGGAAGACACAATTGAAATGTTAAAAAAAATTTGAAGTGAGAATAAAACAGCAGATGATTCGAGAAATAATTCAAGCATTTAACAG